AGATGGTAACACGGATGTTCCTTGGAAAATCGAAGGCGCAAGTAGTAAATGCGTAAGTGATCTGCCTGTTTCCATCTTGCCTTTACCTGATGATATGCCCTTGATATTCATAACACTCCCTTCTTTCGCCAGATTGTACTGTTGTGACTGATTCTGTGACTTTTTCGTTTGGCTCTGTAAAATTTGTCCAGCCATAAGGAAAAACCAGTTCACCGTTTCAGCTGATATCATTTAGAAAAATAACAGAAGATATTGTTCCTTTATGCTTTATATAGGCGATGACAGAAATCTGCATGCTGTTAAAGTTGAGCTTAAATTTTGGAAATATCAAAAATAAAATGTTACATTGTCAAACTGCAGACATAACTTTGACATTGACCTATCCGTTTATTAAGCATCAAAATTCTCAGCAGTTTGAGAACTCCAGAAGCACTTTTCGAGATTTAGAAATCAATAATAACTTCTCAGCAGTGCGTCTGTCGTTACATTCAAGATTAGTTCACTAAGAATCCGAAATAGGATGGATATTTCTGCAGTGCATTTCGTTACAACAAAATTTGATAGAATGTTTAGAAGTGCCTAGAACTTGTGTCACTCATTGAGGAATCACTTATCACTGCGAAGATTTTTGCAGTGATATGAAGTGCAGAATAATTATACTCTGCATTTTTGGGTTTAGAAATGAATTTAACCTAATTACATAAAATGAAACAGTATTGCGATTTATTGGAATATTTGTGAATGGATAATCTCTATTAATATAGTGTGTGTATAACATTGCTATATGCTATGATATCACAAAGATATCACAAGTGTATTTAGAAGGTTCGCTGGTTCGCAACAAATAAAAGCGGTTGACCGATATAAAATAATACGGTGCTTATATAATTGAATCCGTTAATTCGACTCCCAAATCGATCAAGTAATAACAGACTGGCAAAAGCCATAAGCGATAACAGACCCAGAAATCTCAACAATGCAGCCTGAAATAGATCGGTGACGAAAATCAGATTTCCTTCTTTGCTAACGGGAAAAGCAAATGGTTCAAAGTTTTTTCATTTAGTAAAATAAGTATAATAAAATGAACTGGGAGAATGAGGATTAGAATCGGTACACAAAAGATTTTAACATATGCGAGCCTAAATTTTTGTGATTAATTCTGCGAATGAAATGTCGAGAAACTTATGGGAAAAATAAGAAAGTGAGTAAAACTGCTGTATAATAATGAACAAATCTCACATTACGAATTTCATGTTCTACACATTTCAAAAAAAAAAAACCAAAAGCTTTAAAATCACAAACCTCTCGTACACCTTCTCGTTCAGATCCATAATGCCAAATGGATCCGGCCGCAATCAAAGAAATTCCAAGTATAATAAAATGAAGTGAGAGATTGAGGATTAGAATAGGTATGGACCAGAATAAATCAACGAAACAGACATAGAGAAAAGTGACGACGTATGTTGTTACCACTACCGCACATCCAAGCCATAACCGCCGAATAGACAAAGTGAAGGATGATATGTATAAAATATGTGCGATTGTAAATAATCCACAAACGATTTGTAATTTATTATGCCATTGCGATGAATTTAAATATATACCAAGAGCTAAGAAGAGAGCTTTAATATAATTTCGATAGGTTTGAAGTTGTGGCAATTGAAGTGTAAGTTACACGATGAGAGATCACTCGATGATGTGAAATGAGATGACTTCACTTCTAAGTCTTCAGCTTTCATCCATTCCCAGTACTTTAGTTTATTTTTTGAGTAACGATGCAAAAGTTTCTATTTTTTAATTTGCAGTCTATTAATGTTTTAATTCAATTCAATTCAATTCAAGATTCAGTTTTTTAATACATAAATTTGATTTACGACTAACTTTAGTGAACAGGTTATACATACCAAAAACAAGAAATGTTAAAGAAGTGAATAGTTTGATTTCCCTTTTCATACGTAATGTTAACGCAAGTACAGTCAAAGAAAGCGTTGGCATAATATTCACGTACGGAACTTCACGATGGAAACCATCTGTTTCAATGTATAACAAACCACAAAGTCCACCATAAATAATTAACACATGTGTCGGATTCAACACCGGAAAACTGGACATATCTGTGACTGAAACTTTTACAGTAAATAAAAATGTTTCTATGACATAATAAAATAGTTTGAAAAAGAATAATATATTAAATGTTTACAAGCAATACTGATACATTATTTTTCTCGAAATAAAAAGAATATATAGGCGTAAAAGTTTATGAATACTTTCGCTATCATTGGACTAAAAAGAATTTCCACGAATAAAACAAAAAGTTTTATGATTTACATGTTGGCAATTAGTTCGAGGCATTCATTTTAAGCAAAACAAAATGAAACTTATTTTTACTGGACAATTAACACTACCTAAGTTCGTTTCATCAAACGTTTTTCCGAATTTATGGAAAAACGACATTGTTTTTCGTCAGTAATGCTTTAATGACAATATAGAAAATGAATATTCGATTGCTCTTAGCACTAAGAAAAACGAAATTTTAATTTTCCTTCACTTACAAAAAATAAAATATTTAGAAAATAAATGCTTTTTTCCAAAAATTTGTTATATATATAATAATAATTTAAAAAAATTCTAAAAGAAATGTCAAGAAAACAATAAAGCAAATCTCTTATGTAATAATTGTATGACGATAATCACCTCAACTTCAGTATCAAATTGGAAGGTTAAGTCAAATCAGTAATTATTTTTTTTAAATGTGATTTATTATGACTTTTTGCCAAAACCTTTAAAAAATTAGTTTCAAACGTTTTTTTGGTTAAAGGTTTTCAACCTATATTTTTAACCATTTTTTTTAAAAAGTGGTTTTGAACGTTTTAAAAAGATTTCACAAATTTTTTTAAATGCTCAAAAAAGATTTAAAAAGATTAAAAAAGGTAATAGCAAAAATGCACACTAATTGTGTTTAAATTTATTTACTACATTTAGGACATTCATAATTTCATCTACTAAAATTTAATAAATAGTTCGAAGATAATGAAAGGTACAAAGGACTGAGTTATGCACAAAGTGTCAAAAGAAACATATTTGCAGCAAACAGCAAATAAGAGAGAGCGACCAATTTGATACAACAAAACATAATTTTGAGAAATTTGAGGATGTCTGTTGAGTGAAGTGTATGCATATTGAGAAAAAGAATACACACCAATTTTGAAGTCATTAAGAGTGGCAGGGTGAGATTAGACAATCACAAAAGTTGGAAAATGTCAACACAAATATGTGTCAAATTATGACTTCATTGATCGAACGAAAAAAAAAAAAAATATTTTAAAACTATGTAATGGAATGAGTACTAACCTATTCAATTCAATTGAGCAATTATATTCAAATTTGGCTGTTACTTCTCAAATTGAAAATGTTGCACCGAAATTAATTTTGGTTGAGAAAAAACGAAGTGAAATTCACTAGGAATTTATTTGATGACAATTAGATAGTAGTAGAAGCTATAACATAAATAAGAAATTAAATTAGGGATTATATGGATAGACCAGATACTTGTTAATCTCGTCAGGTAGTAATAAATTAGCCAATTTAAGAAAAGCAAAAATAACGCAATTCTGATTTGAAAAGACCATGATACAGTGGACATATCGAATTGTTCATATTGAATGGTAATAGATTAGTAATATATAGACAAAATTTGGATAAAAAATAACTGCAAAATTAATGCATTAAAGAAAAAGTGTGAAACAGTGATTTCGAAATGCATGAGATAAATAATTTCTCATAAGGTTTATTACCTAGTTTTTTTTCACGATATTAAAACAAATTAAGATTATGGTTTGATAGTAGCAAGAATAGACTCATTTCTTGTTTACATTAGAAACACCTATCAAAATGTGTTTGTCCTTAAAAAAGCATTGAAATATTCTGATGAAATTTTCAAATTAATGGGATCAACAAAAAGTAAACAGGATAGAGAATATTTCTTATATTTAAGATATATTGGGGAGCCAGGTGCGTACAATAGAATAGGAGTGATAAGTAATTATGCATACTTGCATGTACTCATGTTTGTTGATAATCCCAAGAAGCTTTAAAATAACATAAACGTGACACGTGACGTACATGCGTGTATAAATAATAAGAGTCAAGTCAGCGGTGATAGTTAAAAGCCATTTTTGTTAAATAGTTGAATGAAATTTGTTATGGATAGTTTGGTGAGAAAAAATATTTCATAGGAAAAAAGCAACATAATCTGTTGTAAGACTAGTCTGAATTCTATGTAAGAAGTAGTAATTAAACTTAGAGAGGACTACTAATGGATGATAATAGCATTTCACTAATAAGCTAATCAAAATGGAAAGTTGAAATGAAAGTCGAAAGTCTATTATTAATGATTTGTAATTTGAAAAGACGAATCACTTTTTACTCAATAAATAGAATTATTCTATTGAATACATTATTGCATTCTGTTTTCTTGTTTTTTCTTTTGAGATATTAGCACAGTTTTTTTCTAATTTGTATATTTTTTGCGTATTCAAACAATGCAAAGTTGTAGGAACAGAGTAGGTGAAAATGAGAACAGTAAGTAGTAATATGCAAGGTTGCTCTCTTTATCAAGAAGAGAAAACTTTAATAAGAGAAGTCGTCTAACTTAACAATTAAAATTTTTCTGAGTTAAGATTTGACTTCATATTTGTTGGGTCTAAAGGAAATTTATATTCTACGCTATTACAAAGTTTTGCTTGGACATCTCTTTCTCTCCTTCAAATATTTTGATTCGTTGGGAAACAATGGTGTAGTGAGTAACAGAGCTACCATGGGAAAGTTACCCTGTCCAACCTATGTAGTACATACTACATCTCGTCGAAATCATACAAGTCAAGTCATTTCTTTTGGGTGAGATATTGGTTTGCATCGTAGCCAACGACTTTCAGGATTTGAAATTAGAACGGGATTTGAAACTACTAGAACTAATCAGGTGGGTGGTGAAGGTATACCGAATGTCAAGGATCGATGGGTATTCGTTGCATGTACTGGGGTCAAAGGGTGTCGAGAGTGGTACCGGATTCGTACTTTCTAAATTATTCTTCTACTAAATGCTTCGTTTCCTCGGTAATTTTTTTCCTCTATTTCCTTTCCAGCTGTTTCTATCCCTCTACTCGATCGATTACTTTAGAAGGAAGAACTTGTCGCAGGAAGAACTCGAATTTCATGTCTTTCAAACAAGGACTGATGAACTTTTAATGTTGCAAGAGAACTGACAAATTCAAGGAGTTAAAGAGCCAGTTTCTAAATACCAATTTCTAAATACTCTGGCTTTTCTGTTAAAATTTAACAAGGGAATCGTATCAATATATTCATGCATATATGCTTTCAGTGCTAGGGAAACCTTTCATTTTGTGGAATCTAACTTCACATAGAATTCCAAAGCCTGAAATGAAAAGCAATGAAAATGCGTCCAAACTACCAATCATTCTGTATTGGAACAACTGTCGCTAATTTCAGAACGCATGGGTGGTTTGTCAGTTTGCCAAGGATCCGTCTGTAGAACATTTGCTGGCTATCGGTGATGAAAATGGCTTTATTCACTTCTTGGATGCTCGAGAAGATGTTATAACAAATTGTAAGTCCACTTATGTAAGTCCACTTACTTTGATGCATCTCCAGCCAAATAGTGTTTTTCTTCTTGATTTATTTGTTGTCTCTTTGTTTCTCCATTTTATCTCAATTTTTACTTTATTACTTTGTTCAAAATTATTGTTCGGAATTAATATTTGCTGCGCGGAATTACTTTTTTGGAGAGAAGAAAACCAAGTAAAAGCTTAAACTTATGGTAAGGAGATTTGAGCAGCTCATTCATGTAGCATTTCCAACTATTTTTAGCAATTTCTGCTGATCGAAGTTGCGTAATCGATGTGTCATTTGTTGCAAATCGGCCGAACAATTTAATTTCAATATCTGGTCATGCAAAGGTAACATCATGGGATATTGAGCGACAACTTGCGTTGCAGCAATTTTTAGGTCATGAAGGTTCCGTCCGCGCTCTTTCTGTATCAGACGATAATCCTGGTTAGTTTCGTAATCCTCTTTTCATCAACTTTTCATTGCAGATTAGAGCTTTTGGTATTTTATGACTTTTTCATTCAAAAAAGCAACTGCAAATTGCAGATCTTTTTGCAACAGGAGCTCGAGATGGAACAATTTGCATATGGGATCAGCGAGAACCACAAGCTGCTGTTGTACGTCCTTTCAGTCTTCTCGAAAACACACATCCTTTACTAGCCTCTAAACGTACGTTAATATTTACATGTATATGCAACAGTACTCCAGCAAGTTTAATTTTCGAAGTATAACTGATAATACCTAAAAGCGTTTGGTAAAAAGATGGAGTATTTGACTTTTTTGATTTTCCTTTCTTGACTTTCCTTTTTTTTTCTAAGAAACTAAAAAGAGATATGTCAGAGCAAATATGAGCTGTTAGAAATGAAGAGAGATCGTGGTACTCTTCCCTCTTTTTAGTTTCTAATGCGTTTGTAGAAAAATTTTTTTCGTACTAGTGTGCCATCATTTGACAAATGTAGGACAAATTTGGTTAGATAATTTGGCATTATAGATTTTTGAGATCTAGACATCCTTTAACGTACAGAACGAATCAAGACGCAGGAGTCACTGGTCTTATTTGCTTACTTAATATATCTCGGTCTTGTCTTTGTCAATCCAGTTCGTAAGTCCTGGTAGCATTTTGCGATTCTGATTCGTACTTTTCAGGTCAAAGTATTGGGACAAAACGAAGATCGCGTATGTCAGTTTCGATGAGTTCAAAAGGAATCACTTCCTTAGTACATTATGGTGGAAATACCCTAATATCTGCATCTTCATCTTTCAAAACGTAGTGTTTTGTTTTTGCGGCTAATACACGTTTTTATTATACTTTTCATTTAATGGTTCTTTTATTTCTCATACTGATGCTACATGATTCTTCTGATGTTAAATTCACTGCAGAGGTATTCGCTTTTGGGATCTCCGTTATCGTGGCAAAAATAGTCCATTTCGTATCCTTGAAGATCCAAATAGTTCTTCAACTCGTGATTTTGGTGTGTTGATCTAGAACTCGCATTTATTTTAAGCAATTAACTGGAATTACTTTCTGTAATTTTGTTCCAATAGGACAAAAACATGATATTATAATTTACAAGATACAAATTATATTATCATTTATTTTTCAAAAAAGAAGGATTGAAAGAAGCAGTTTAAGTTTTATGTCATGATCTCACAACAATAGTTTAAATAAACTTTTAAGAAATAATCGCATTTTTTTATTGAGGTATTGCTTCGATATGCCTTGATCGCTTTAGCTCATCACTTTTTGTTGCATCCACAGACTTGAAAATTTATCAGTACAGCATACAGGGATTGAATGACACACCAGGTTCTTTTTTCATTTTAATATTGTTTAGAGTATCATCATATGTTTGGTTCCGTTTCCCATTTATATGAAGGATTAAAGTTTTTGAAAATTTCAGTTGGAATTTTACAAGGAGTGAAGCGAACGTCTTTCAATACGTATGATTTTAGAATTGCTGCATCTCCAACTTCTGATCATGTAATGTTTGGAGGTGGTGATTGCTTCGCTGTTATTTGGGATTTACAGGTTATTAATTAGTTAGTATTTTAAAACTTCCGCATTTAGAATATGTTAGTTTTCAATGCTCTTAAGCATTGAAAGATTTTTTCATTTATTAATTGGATTTGTTCTTGATTCTGAAATGCTTTTATTTTGTCAGTTAATTATTACAGGAAAAATATTCCAATTCTAACAAAGGCAAATTGAAGCATTTGCCTTATCCGAAATATACTTTAGGTGGTCATCGCTATGAGGTTTGTTATTTCTATCTTTTATTTTAAACTAAACACATGCATTCCCAGTATAATATGTATTAAATTTTTGTTTTAATGATGATGACACCGGCACTCGTGAAATTTTTGCTCTATAACTTGATGCATTTCCGCTCATTATTATTTTAAATTCAGTGCTGTTAATATAAAAATTTTCATCAAAGAAATAGGTTGTTCTCATTCAGGTTACTGTTGCAAGATTCAGCAACTGTGGACATTATATTGCTACGATGGATGATTCGTATTTGAAAATTTGGAAATGGATTACGAAAAGCCCTGGAAATCAAGACTTATGTTCAATTACAATACAGGACCGTGTCGAGTTATATGAATTACCTGAAACAGCTATGGCTGAAATGTCAATGTATGCTTTATACTTATCACTTTGTCATCACTCATAACGCACGGATGCAATTTATGATATATCGAACGTAGTTTTATGTCATTTATTTATATAACCATTTATTTGTATATATCTGCATATTTTGCAGGAAACAGTTGAATGTGTCAGTTTCAGTTCCAAAGAAAAACACAGAACGTAGTCCCTTCAAGAGTCCATTTAAAAGTCCGCTAAACCGGGTTGGTATGGAAACGAAAAGTGGAAGTGGATCACCTGTGAAAAAAATGTTCAAGTATGGTTCCTTTCGGTTTATTCCGCATTTTGTGACTCTTCTAAAAAATTTCGGAGCATAACGTTTTCTTTTAGCTTTTTCCAATAATTTCCTTTTAAGAGCCACTGAATCGATGTCTCCACCACTATGTGATCTAACTAACAAATCAAGCCATGCTGCACGAAAACTTGATTTTTCTGGAATCGAAATGAAAAATCGAGTTCCATGTGCTTTCTACTTTAAGTATGCTTTTAATGTTGATTTGATCTGTTGATTTTCCTTTAACTACTCTTTTGTTAGTGTGTTTGAGAGCGGGAGCAAATTGTGGGTCATTTAAGGTATCCAACAATGAATTTGCCAGATTTTGTCAAAGAAAAACTTGCAATGTCGAACATGAATCCAGAGTTACAAGCGAATATATTAAATAAAGGAAGAAGTCCAGAACTGGATGAATATTCATCCAATTCCGATCGGTAAGACTGTTTTTAATTTGTTAATATTTTACAAATTTTTTGAACAACTTGTAATGCGCTGAACTAGAAAGAAATGAAGACCATCTCTATCCATGTTTGATCCTGATTTGATTGCAGTATAGTGCTACTACTGAAATATGTTCTGTTATTTATTTGCTTTACGTTTTTTTTTTTTTTTTTTTTTTGCACTTTTAATGTCCTCTGTTTTATAGGCCATCTAACTGTTCATATATGATTTCGCTGAAAGAACGTTTCGACCGTACATCTCCTCGTAAAATTCGCGTTAAACAAAGTTTACATAAATCACGTGATCGTGTTCATCGGCAGTCAACACCAAAAATGGCAGCGAAATCTCGCACTGATTTACAAAACTCAAGACATTTGCAGTCTCAAAATTCTTCAACTGATATTCGTCAGTCAACACCAAAACCAAGAAAAAAGAGTGGGACACAGCTAACGCTCGATCAGTATTTCAGCAAAACACCACGAACTTATTAAGTTTATTTCTGTGCATTTTTTTACTTTGAATGCAGTGATGTGTAATACTGGTAACCAATCTTTTTTGCGTGATTTTTCGCTTAATTTTTATTTTTCACAAGTACTTTTTTTTTTTTAACTTACTTAACTTTCATGGCTAAATGGGTTGCCTCAGATCTCTCGGAATACAGGCCCTGTAAATAACTGTTTGTTGTGAATTGCATTATGGATTTTATCCTATAACATTAACTGCAAAAAACATGTGAAATCCAAAATTATTTTTGGTAAACAATTTTGGAAATCTTTTATATGTTTTTTAGTTGGTGTTTAGTGTCATATCCTGTTATAACGTTTGAATATCTTAAGAAAGTGCTTGTTTGTTATTCGAAGTACTCATACTTATTCAAGTTCTATCCTATATTGAGATATGCATACTTATTCAAGTTCTATCCTATTCCTACCTGCTTTCATTTTTGTTTTACCTCAGAATTTATTGAAACCGCAAATTTTCATGGGCTCATTACCTCAATATATTTTTTTAACATGATTTTAGAACAGTTGTCTGCTCCTGGTTTTGATGTTCAGTATTGATATCTTTCTGTTTCGACATTCCTTACGGTTTAATGGCTACATAACATTTTTTCTGTTAACATGCAGAAATAAAAGAGCTTATTAGAAATTGCTTATTCTTATAGGATAAAAGAATCTATTGGAAATTGCATACACTTATTGGTCTCACTTTTTTCTTCTGTAAATTGTTTTACTGGTCTTTTGGTATAAGACGTTTATTCTTTGTAATACATTCATTGTAAAATGTTGAAACATGAAGTCAGTCTCAAACTATCCGAATTAGTCGACATAATTGGTCGAAACTGTGCCTACTGCTCTCAGGTATTCGTATCCTTTTTTCGCTCTTTACTCCCTTGTACTTTTCGGCTTCTTCTAATTGCCTTTTTTATAGCATTTGGCATGTAAATGTAATATCATTTGTTTGCTATTGTGCAGTAAATAATGAATTCTCACTTCATTCTGATGCTACTTTCACTTAAAATTGATGCCTTTTATTGAATTGTCAAATGTTCTGTGAAATTTTAAATTTAAGAATTTTTCAAGCGAATGTTTCTGTAGCATAAAAGTTCTTGTGACTGATTGTTAGCGGTAGCATTTTCCATAAGTCATCTTTTTGAAACCAATGAAAAACATGTACGTATATGTTTTAATGTTGCACAAGTTATTCTGTTTGCAGTAACTTCCGACAAAAATTATGCCAAAGTAGGTGTCATTGACTAGCCAGACTATCGATGTTTCATGGTTTGCTTATTTTATTGACAAGAATTCAAAAAAATGGTCGAAACATTTCCAGCAGTAGTAAGAATAATAGAAATAAAGAAAAGAATTGTTATAAGATTGGAGAACATAACTCAAAGTTCAGTTTGTCATAGTTTATAGCATGTCTGCTTCCATGGACAGTGCGGGAGGTGTGGTACTGTAATATTTCTTTAAAGAAGTCAGGGAAATACCATAACCGTGGGATGGTCCAGATTTGGAGATTCGTTTTTGTAACTGGAAAATCTTAGAATTGCTTTTAAATTTTCTGCTGAACAAGAATTTTAATTGTTTGATGATACTGTGGAACAAAAGATTTTTTAGATGCATAATAATTACGAGTTATGGGATGAAGTAGTGAGGATTTTGCGATAGACAAGTTGAGAACAGGTAACACAACATAACGAACGGAACTGTTCCGAATGGCAGTATTTGTGGAGCTTTTCATCAGATAATTCAAGGCACATTGATGAATTCAAATCATCGCAGTCTGAAATTTGTTTTAAGTAGAATACATTTGTGGTTACATTACAGAATACAGAAAACATTATGTAATTATTTGGAAAACTTGAGTTGGTCACAGGTATATTTTTGGATGCTTGAGAGTACTTGTTTTAAAATGACACTGAAACACCACAAAAAATTTCTCAAGACAATGTAATATAGTTACAAATGAGCTCACTTTCTCTTTCTTTGTCGGTTGCTACACAATTTCCGCCAAGACACCACTAAAAAAAAATTGAGATTTGGTGAAAAATTGAACTGAAAAACAAACACTTAAAATCAGTGCTGATTTTTGCTATATTATATTCAGTTTTTCTATCAGCTGTGTTTATTGTAATATACAAATTTTAGTCTAAAAATTTCCAATTAATTTGAAATGTTTGAAATTATGATAAATTAATCATTTTGTTCACTGATTTTTCTTATAACATAATTTTTATCCAAGACTTGGAGAAAAATTGAATTGAAATTATTTTATTACTTGTTTTTAGTGAGACACTTTTATTACTTGTTTTTTAGTGACAACGATAAAATTAATAAAAGTTATTTAACCTTATCATGTCCACATTTAGTTCCGTCTAATAAAGGTAAATACAATTTGGTTTCACATGGTTCTGTCTTGCGTAGCTGTCGATTTTTGCACCAAAGTCGTCGACATGGATCCTTCGATAAATATTCCTTCCTCTTAATTTAAATGAAATTTGAAATATATTCTTTCGCATGTAACAATGTAATAAAGTGCATGTGATAAAGCTAAACTTAGAGGGAAAGTAAAAGATAAATCTTTAGTTTAGTCAAATCAATGGTAGATGATTATGCAGAAATCACGGGAAAATTATTAGGGAGCGAAAGATCTGACTGCATCTCAACAAATATAGTTGTGATATTATCATAGTCCTTACAAAAGCTTTTCCTTTTCCCCGATGACTTTTTCTTAACTTTTAGTCAAATATGTATTATGATTAAAACCTTGTTGGAAAGAATCCTGAGTTTTCAATTTTAATATTTACAAATTTAAATATATCACCTTTCACCAGCACATCCCTCACTTTTCATTCAAAAAATTAATTTACCAAACAGACACTATAATGGGCTCCAAATGCTATTTTGCACTGATTCTGTTGCACTAACAATTCGCCGGGTTTGCGATGCTTACGTCGAGAAGTACGTCGCAATCGCCTTTCACGACTCTTTGATCGCAGCAAGCAATCAGCTGTTCCGTTTCTGCAATTTAATTTTTTTTCAACTATTCAGCTCTAAAAATGTGACAACAATTCATATAACAAAAATTGAAAGAGTATTATAAATTTTTAAAAGTCAAATTCTTTTGAAAAATTTATTTATCCAAAAAAATATTTTGACCATTCCAGAGCTATTCCTACTTTTATCTATTCAAATTTCAATAAAGAACTACGCAAAAAATAATTGAATCTGTTGAATTGAGCACGGTGAGAATTTGAATGTGTTGAAGAATTTTTGTTCATCGTCCGAACTTGATACTGTTGCAGACATTAAATAGTTTTTTCCGCAATTTTCAGCTGGTCCACCAGCACCGTCATGAAATGCGCCAAGGCTGTAAGAAAGTTTCTTGAATTTTTGAAAAAAAAAAAAGAAAAACGTTTAAATTTTGAGAACTTCTTTATTAAATTAAATTGTTGGCTTTAAGCAATAAAATTTCTAAACAAGCATGTGAGTGAGTACCTATGAGCCAATTCATGAGCAGCGATTACAGCTGTAGCCATACCGCCGATGTCCTCTACTACACTTGCTGATTCGGTAACTCGACACATCGCCCCAACGTATGCCATTCCTTGAGTGCTAGAGTCACCTTTAGAAGAGAGTAAATCGATCCTGCCAAGAAAAGTAAATTTTATTTAAAATCAAAGAAATCTTTTATATCATCGATTTAATTTGTTTAAATTCGAGCGCTTAGAATTCGAATCAACTTTAACTTCAAACGCACCAAAACAGTAATTGATACATTGCACATACCTTGTCAAAACAATGATATGATTATGCGCTGGAATCCATTGTGAGTAATCAGCCACCCATTTTTGCACATAATTCACAGCATCTATTCCATTCATCCTAATAGCAAAATATTATTTTAAGTGTATTTCTCTCCCCTAAAATAAAGGAATAATGCTGTAAAAGCTTATGTGAAAGATTTTGAAACTTATTGACTGGTATTTTGGCTTCTTCTATTGTTAACATTTCGTGGACTTTTTTCGTTGAAATTTTCTGCAGTTAGTTTAGACAGAAGGAAAAAAGATTTTACTGTGTTGCATTTTCCAAATTATTCAATTCAGTTTGTTTTAGAAATGGCGCAAATGGACAATCATCTTCACGGATTATTGTCATCGTTGATGCCATATTCAAAGTTACCGGAACATTCTCGGACAAACCATTACCATCGTAAATTGAGCGCACCTGTCATTCATGCTTTTTCAGAATACATTATTTAACGTAGAAGACAAAGTTAGAGCAATTTGTTGCATTATTGAAGTTATTCAGAATCTTCAATATCATTGTTATGTTACTATCATCGTCTTCAATATCATTCTCATATTATTATCATCAACATTCTCCTCATGACAGGATAATCAGAATTTAATATCGTTGTTGCTCTCATTACAAATGTCATCAACAACCATCATTATGGGTCAGTAATCCTTCCATTAATAATGTTATTAATATTTTCGGCTTTGCTAGCATCACTTATTTCTCGATCTATAAACAACTACCTGTTCAAAAATTGCATACAAGTAGTCGTTTGTAGCCGAAAGCGCCGAGTAATCGTCACCTCGAACAATGTGCATAAAATTGGTGTAAACTGAATAATCGGCCACCATTAGAATATCAATCTGATATCTGAATGATGAACTGTCCTGTTGTATCATTGGATTACGGGATAGTGGCACTTGCTGCAGAAAAAACTTACTTTTCTAATACATATTCAAAATATAAATTTTTAAATTTAATTAAGAAGGATCATTCAAAAAAAAATTGTTACAATATCATATATGTTAAACAATAAGTTTTTTGCTTCAAAAACTCATGTTTTGATATTTTGAATATGTATTAGAAAATATCGATCTATACAGTGTTTTCTAAAGATTATAACAGAGAAATTTTTATAAGATTGGACTAGCTTCAAAAAAGAATTCGAAAAAACAAAAATATTCAAAATG